TTTGCGTGCGCACTCCGGGCGCGAAGCCGGAAAATTTTTATGTTAAAATATATGAATTCTGTGAAAAATTTGGTGAATTATGATATTAATATTGATATAGTTGACTTTGGTCAACATTATGGTAAATGGACCCGGACCCGTGATGTAACGGTCCCGGGAGGTACGTAGGAAAATATGGGACTCGGGCATGTGCCCGGAGTCGAAATTCGAGGTCCAGAACCCCGGTAAAAGAATTTTTCTGATAAATTGTTTTCTGAAATTGATAAGGAAAAATGAAAATGAAAATGAGTTAGAAAATATAGGTATCGGGCTTGTATTTTGGTTCCGACGCCCGGTACAGGTCTTAAATATGCGTTAAGCGCTTCCTGTGAAATTAGGTCGAAATCGGACGTCGTTTGACGTGTTTCGGACCTAAATAGCTAAAATTGAAGGTTTATGAACTTTGAAATGAAAATTATGAGTTTTGGGGGTTGATTCTTTGATTTTGATGTTATTTTAGCGATTTGATCGCTCGAGCAAGTTCTTAGGATGATATCGAGTTAGTGTGTGTGGTTGGTTGGGAGCCCCGAGGGCTCGGGAGTGTTTCGGAGGTGTTCCGGGAGGTTTTAAAACTTAGACAAGTTGCAGAAAAGTCTGCAACAGGTGCCCAGTCATTTCCTTCTTCGCGATCGCACTCTCTCTCCCGCGTTCGCGAAGCATCAGAATTTCCTTCGTCGCGTTCGCGTACAACATCACACGTTCGCGTAAGCCAAATTTGGGACCCCAGTATTTTCCTCTTCGCATTCGCATTCAACTGTTCGCGAACGCATAGCCTTGCAGCTTTCTTCAGCGCGTTCGCGTGGGCTTTTACGCGTTCGCGTAGAACAAATCCCGGACCCCCCCAGTGTTTCTCCTTCGCGTTCGCATCCTCCCAATCGCGTTGACCTGCCCAGTTACCCTTCGCGAACGCTGCCCTCTTCCCGCGAACGCGAAGGGCAATTTTGCCCAGTTATATTTTTAATTTCCAGAACAGTGTAGTTACGGGAATTTCATGAAAACACACGAGCTCCTTCTTCTCCAAGGTCTTTAGGCGTCCATTGAAGCTCCCTTTCACCAAAACTTCTTGGGTTAGTAAATCTTAACTCGTTTTCTTCATTTTCCATCAATATTTGTTGAATTCCTAAGCCTAAAACATATAATTTAGGGTAGAAATTAGGGGAAATGGGTAGAGTTAGGTTTTTGAAAATTTTGGGCGATTCAACCTCAATTTGGGGTCGGATCTTGAAACAAATTATATATTTGAACTCGTGGGGTTATGGGTGATTGGAATTTGGTCCGAGCCTCGAGTTTGGACCATGTGGGCCCGATGTCGGATTTTGCTATTTTTGAAAGAATGGTAGGAAATTCATTTCTAGGCTATGGGATTATGTTGTTGAGCCTCATTTGATATTATTGAATTAATTATGACTAGATATCATTGTTTTGGGAGTCAAATTCTAGAGGAAAGGCGGTGTTAGAGGCTTGATTGCTATTTTCGGACCGAGGTAAGTGTTTGATCTAACTTTGGCTTGAGGGAATAGGATTAGAGTATCATAAATGCTATTTGCTAATTGATCGAGTACGGTGTATAGGCGTGGTGACGAGTGTCTATACACCGGAGTCTAGCATGACCGTGGGTCTTTGTTTGTACTTGTTTATGAGATAATTTGGAACTCTTCTAAGCTACAAAAATGTTTTTCTGCAAATGTGAAGAGTCGGAGGATAAGTTGTGTGATATTAATATTTTGGAGCATTGGCTCGAGTGTTAAATACCATTGAGTAAGAGATGAACGTATTGAAAAGAGTTGTGATTAATCCCTTGCCGGGATGGTTTGATTACAGTGAGTATTGCCCTTGCCGGGTTGTGAAAGATATTGTTATTGTTTCCTTGCCGGGACTTGGTTGTTATTTGTGTTATTCCCTTGCCAGGACAGTTCATATTACTTGTTTATTCCCCTTGCCCGTTTGGTTGTGACTGTTATTTGGGTGAGGAAGAGTGAAATTGCACGAAGGGTCATTCCGTGCTATTCTTGATTATATTTGCACGAAGGGTCATTCCGTGCTATTCTTGATTATATTTGCACGAAGGGTCATTCCGTGCTATTCTTGATTATATTTGCACGAAGGGTCATTCCGTGCTACTCTTGATTATATTTGCACGAAGGGTCATGCCGTGCTATGTTTTGACTATTTATGCACGAAGGTACATTTCGTGCTCTGATTTGATTATATTTGCACGAAGGGTCATTCCGTGCCGTGAGATGAGAGCTATGTGAGGGAAAGCACGAAGGGTGATGCCGTGCATTTTATTTGATTGCTTTGGGTGAGATTGAGAGTAAAAGCACGAAGGGTGATGCCGTGCAACTATTGAATTTCTTATTCTTTGATAATTATTGTTGTGCCATGTTTCTTAATTACGTTGTTGAACTTTATATCCAAATTGTACTCTCCCACAGCATGTCCCCCCCCCCCTTTTAACCTATTTAGTTCCGGTATTTTCTTTCCTTTTGTTGCATATTTGTATATAAAAATTGTACAGGTTGGTTTGGTAGTCCTGTCTAGCCTCGTCACTACTTCGTCGGGGTTAGGCCAGGCACTTACCAGCACATGGGGTCGGTTGTGCTGATGCTACGCTCTGTGCATTTCTTTGTGCACAGATCCAGGAGCAGCTTTTGGACAGCAGCAGTAGGATTCTTATTCGGGAGCTATCTTCAGTCCAGGGACTCTCGAGGTAGCCTAGCTGGCGTTCGCAGGCCGAAGTCCCTTTCCTTATTTCAGTTTGTTTTCATTGTATCGAAACAGACATGTGCATTTCTTTCATTTCGACTTGTTGTAGTATTCTATAGTAGTCCGTGAGCTAGTGACACTAGATTTTGGGTAGGGATGTGTTTCAAATTTCCGCATTTTTATATCTTTTGTTAACCTTAAAGTCTTCCGCATTTCTTTAACTGTTGTTAGTATATTATATTGTTGAGGTTGGATAGTGAATGTTTAATGTATGGCTGGCCTAGCTCCGTTAGTAGGCGCCATCACGACGCCCGATGGTGGGAAAAATCCGGGTCGTGACAGTTTATCTCACAAGCAAGACAAATTGTGGATTAAGTAGATTCATACTGTGTACAAGGAGCAGTGTATAAATTCTATGCCTGTCCCTATGAATGCAAGCTGGATGGTGAGGAAGATATTGGAAGCAAGGGAGATCATAAATCAGTTGCCCATGCCATTAGAGGATAAGAAAAGCATCATTAAGCAGATATATCTTCAACTGAGTCCAATGTTACCTAAAACTACCTGGAGAAGTCTAATGTATAGCAATGCTGCCAGACCTAAGGCTATAATCACAATGTGGCTTCAATGCCAAGGGAGGTTACTTACTGTGGACAGACTTAAGAAATGGAGACTCAGTGTAAATGACTCATGTGTGTTATGTCAAACTAACTTGGAGACAAGGAATCATCTATTTGCTAAATGTGACTATGTTAAAAGGTTGTGGTGTAGATTGAGTCAATGGGCAAAGGTACAGAACATTAATAGTTCAACATGGGAGCAACAACTACAGATCATTTGTCAGCACACAAAAGAGAAATCAACTGTAGCAAAACTTCTCAAGATGATGTATGCTGAATATACACATGCTCTATGGAAAGAAAGGAATCAGAGAATATTTCAAGAAATATTCAGAGATCACACAAGCTTGGCAAGGGAGATAGTCTGCATATGTAATTTTAGAGCTATTGGGAATGTAAAAAAACTAGTGCAAAAGTTGTATTTTTAGCATAATTCACTGATAGTAATATGGTCTAGTATGCTAAGATATCATAGTCTTTTCCCTGTAAATCTCATGAGAATTAGCTAGCTGGGAGTAGCTAAGCTATGCTTTGTAATGTCTTCACTTTTGGTGATTAATAAAAAATTTTAATTACCAAAAAAAAGAATTAAAGACTTATACCTCTACTCTCCCAAAGGCACCAAAAAAAAAAGAAGAAGAAGAAGGAGAGAAAACAAACAACGAAGATTTGACTTTCATATATTGGCAATATTATACAATTATGTCACTTAAAAAAATACTTATAAATAATAATTGTCTATATTAAGTATAGACTGTTGACCTTACAAGTAAATTAATAAAAAGGTTATAATTAGTTAAAATATATTAATAGTATAAAACTCATATATCATATACTATCACTATTCATAATTGAAATTCAAGAAATAAACGCGTTAGCTGGGAAGCTATTTAAGCTGGGAAATAAACGCGTTAGCTATGGCCTACGGCCTACCTAAAGAGTTCATTACCTGTAAAAAGTCGATGCTATTAGTTTTTGTCCCCAACCATCTTGCACGTATAATATGACTTATTTATTATTGCTTCCTATTAGTGCTAAAACCAGAATTTTTCATAACAAAAAATTTAAAGAATTACATATATATATATATATACACGAAGAGTTTTTAGGTTGTTCCGAGGGAATTCAATATCAGCCATATCAAGTGTAGTCCGGTGCATGAAGTATGTCGCGTTCACGTAAGGTCTGGAGCCAGGACTTTTATCAAGGGGATCCGAAATATTAAAAAGTAAACATAAGAACAAGTCAACGGGATTCAATATCTACTATTTATGAATAAAATATAAGTTTGACCTTATATTATACTGTAATTTTTCGATGAAGGGGGTTCGGACCTTCTGTCACTCTATCTCCGCCCCTCCCTGGTCGGGGAAGGGCCGCAATCCAAGGAAGTGTGATACATCCTGCCTTGGCTCGAAATTAACATCTGCTTTACAAATTATCCACTCACATCCACACAAATTACAATCTGTTGAATAAATAAGAAGCTAAGCTATGCTGTAGGGTAGTCAACTAATAGTACAAAAAGAGGAAAGCTCAGGTATTCTTCCTAATCAACGTAGAAAAAAAGCGTTAGAAAATGTTCTGCTTCCATATTTTGACCTAGTCAATTTTCAAAAATTTAATAACATGGATTGACCTTTCCTTTCCTGTGAATGACTTTATTAGTCTCCTCACAATATTTAATTCTGTATATACAAAAATAATTTGGTTAATCCCCTTCTGCCATAGTCACGAGTCGCGACTGTTGTCATAATCAACAAGGTTGAAACTTCCAGGAAAAAACTTCGAATTGGGAGGACGAAGAAGTTCTCTTGATCACTTGATCAGTAGCTGATCAGAAGTCGGAGCCCCAGGCTGCAGCCACTACCAAGGGTAGAGGCTGGGGCCGAGGTAGAGGCAGAGCTTTAATGGCATGGCTACAAATCCTACTATTTTGGTGTTGCTGTTTCTTTTTCATAAACATTTCTTATTCCCAAACAGACACAATTTTTCAGGGACAAAATCTTAGAGTTGGAGAGAAACTGGAATCAGCAAACAAGGAATTCAGGCTGGAGTTTTTTAGCCTTGATGCTAATAAAACTCACTATATAGGCATATTCTACAACTTACCTTCTAACATGACATTATTCTCTGATGATTCTCGCCCCGTTTGGGTTGCTAATCGCGACAATCCAATCCCATATGCATCAGGTAATAATCTCACATTGGATGATGAGGGAAAGCTGAAAATTATCTATGGAAATAATAGTTCTGTTTTGTTAAGTTCTAATAATGCAACAGCAAGAAATACAAGTGCCACACTATTCGACAATGGTAATTTTGTGCTGGTGGAGTTGGAAACTAGTGGTTCTGTGAGCAAAACTTTGTGGCAAAGTTTTGAGCATCCTACTGACACACTTTTACCTGGGATGAAAATTGGTAGAAGTATAACAGGGGAAAACTGGTCACTGACTTCTTGGAGAAGTGAAGATGAACCAGCCTCGGGGTCTTTTACGATTGGTATAGACTCAACAGACCAATTGACAATATGGTGGGAGGAACGTGTGTATTGGATGAGCGGACGTTGGAGTAATGGGACATTTAGCAATGTATCGCGAATATCTCACTACGACTATGTGAACTTGAGCTTTGTTTCAACAGATGATGAAAGGTACGTAACTTACACGGTCAGTGGGACTCAAACTTTATCTAGATATACAATAGATTCATTTGGTTTAATCAAAGAAAGAGGAGCAGCAGGACCTTTTGGTGTGTGTATCTACAAGCCTAGTGCTGGTTGTGTGACAGAAGAATCGACCGAGTGCCCAATTAGAGACGATTCATGGTTTGAGAGGAGGCCAAACAGTGTCACTGGTAATAGATTTACGTTTGAAAACAACAACATGAGTTTATTTGATTGCAAGAGAGAGTGTGAGAAGAATTGTTCTTGTGGTGCTTTTGCCTCAACTACAGCTACTGGAACTGGTTGTGAAATTTGGAGTAATGTATCTATCTTGAGTTCACAAAATCAAGATGTTTTCATTCTTGATAGTGGAGGAGGTACTATCATCTTTGCCTCATTATCTTTTCCCTATGCTTTTGGTTAGACACTTTCTAATGCTAAAGAATTCAGGTATTAAATGCAAACAGTTGAATGTGCTTTTTATATTATCTATCAGAAACTTTATACTTGATTTGCCCTCTTGCAATATTTCTATGTCTAGCATCAATGAAGCGGGGGAGGGGAGCCTTGGCGTAACTGGTAAAGTTGCTGCCATGTGACCAGGAGGTAACGGGTTCGAGCCGTGGAAACAGCCTCTTGCAGAAATGCCGGGTATGGCTGCATACAATAGACCCTTATGGTCCGGCCCTTCTCCGGACCCTGCGCATAGCGGGAGCTTAGTGCACGAGCCTTGGCGTAACTAGTAAAGTTGCTGCCATGTGACCATGAGGTCACTGGTTCGAGCCGTGGAAACAGCCTCTTGCAGAAATGCAGGGTAATGCTGCGTACAATAGACCCCTGTGATCTGGCCCTTCCCGGGACTCCGCGCATAGCGGGAGCTTAGTGCACCAGGCTGCCTTTTTCATCAGTAGAACAAGCTCTAACTATGAATTGTGCAATGTGTTTTCCTAGATTTGGTGCCAAGAAGAAATCGGAGCACCTCCAATGTACCGAGCACAATCTCACTTCCTCCAGATTTATCACCAGCACCATCTCCCGATGAAATGCCAATGTCATCTGATTCATCTCCAAGAACTTGTATGTATAGTGTATAAATCTAGTTATTGCATTTTTAACTGAATATTAGCTCTTGAAGGTGAAAACCTTTCTTTTACTGTCCCTCGATATGGTCCATTCAACAAAGAATCATACATTTTAGGCACGTATTCTCTTTTAGTATCTTTTAGTCCGCGTACACACTACTTTCCCCAGACCCCACATGTGAGATTACAGTAAGTTTATAGTTGTTGTTGTTGTTGATTCTCTTTTAGTATCTTCATTACACAATCTAGTCCTTGTTTTGAGTATATCCATCCTTTAGATCATCTGGTTAAAACTGTACAAAGTAAAATGTATCTCACTGTTGCAAAAGTTAAGTGTCCAGGATAGATGCATATATATGACTAAAAATATGCTTTCAAAAGTTTTTGGGAATTTTGACTCATTGTGTTGATGCAGCAATAAAATGGTGGATTTGGCTTATAACTGCAGCTGGCTTAACCATATTAGTAGGACTTAGCTCCCTGTGCTACCTTCGGCGCGGAAAAGGTGAACAATTGAACAATACAGAAGCTTGACACCAGTAAATTTCAATACTTAGCTTTAGATTTCAGAATTTTCTCTTTTACTATCAGGGAAAGCAAAAGCAACAGCTTTGCTATTGCTAAATCAAAGAGTAAATATAGCCAAAAGGAGAAAGAGTGACAAGAAAATGAGCCAAGATGTGCAGTTATACAGCTTTGAGAGCCTGGCAATCGCCACGGACAACTTTTCGCTGGGAAATAAGCTCGGTGAGGGTGGATTCGGACCAGTATACAAGGTAAAACTGAATCTTTCTAAATGAAGATGATTCTTCCAAGCATATATATAGTATATAGACGGAGCCAAGATTTAAAGTTTATAGTCTCGTGATTTCAGTGTTTTTAAGTTATTGTGTTCTAAATTAATAATTTGTACATATTCAATGGATAAAGGGGAGCCTTGGCATCAGGGGCGGCCCTTCCATAAAGCAAGTAAAGCAACCGCTTTAGGCCCCATATTTGTGGGAGCCCCATTTTTTGTTACACCTAATAGAGTATGTATAAGTTTAAAAAAGAGTTCTGTAAAGTGAAAAAGTTTGATTTCTTTTTTAACAAATATAGAGAAGAAGGATTTGCAACTGCTATGATTTGCACCAAGGAAATTGCACTTGATATGAATATTGAACCCGAATTTCGCAAGAAACGTGTGATATATAGGAAGTAACAATTTGATGCAATGTTGATAATGAAATCTCAAAATGTTTCGAAGAGTCCTTTAGAATTGATTACTTTTATACATAATAGACAAAGCTATTTTTTTCACTTCAAAATAGATTTGAACAATTCGAAGCATATGAAAATATTTTTGGTTTTCTATTTGGCATTAAAACTACGATCACTAGATGTTGGAAATTTGAAAACATATTGCCTTAATTTTGGATGTTCCTTAAAGCATAATAATGAATTCGATATTTGATGGTTTAGATTGTTTTTCTGAATTAAAAGTATTAAGAAAAATAGTACAATTAGAAGATAACAGTTTAATTGATACGCTTAATCAAATAAAAAGATTTAATTCTTTTCCAAATGCCTAAATTGCTTATGGAATAATTTTAATAACTCATGTCACCATTGCTTCAGCAGAAAGAAATTTTCAAAATTAAAATTGATAAAATCTTACCTAAGAACAACAATGTCACAAGAAAGGTTAAATGGATTAGTTATATTGTCAATTGAGAAATACTTGTTAGGAGTTATTGACTGTAAGAAAATTATTTATAACTTAGTATCTAAGAAAAGCTAAAAAAAATAGATTTCAAATAAATAATAAAGAAAATTAAAAAGTTAAGGCCCCTCATAAAGTTTGGCTTTAGGCCACAAAATTGGTCGGGCCACCCCTGCTTGGCATAACTGGTAAAGTTGTTGTCATGTAAACGGGAGGTAACAGGTTCGAGCCGTGGAAACAGCCTCTTGCAGAAATGCAAGGTAAGGCTGCGTACAATTGACCCTTGTGGTCTGGCCCATCCCCGGACCCCGAGCATAGCGGGAGCTTAGTGCACCGGGCTTGCCTTTTTACATATTCAATGGATATTTTAGAGTTTGAACCAAAACTACTGGATTCGGCTGAATCTGTAGCCGACACTCTAGCTCCGCCCTATATTGAAATCAGTCATTATTTTCAGGGAGAGTTGCCTGATGGGCAAGAAGTGGCTATAAAAAGGCTTTCAACAAGTTCTGGACAAGGGCTTCTGGAGTTCAAGAATGAAATTTTATTGATTGCAAAACTTCAACATACTAACCTTGTTAGGCTTTTAGGCTACTGTACTCAAGGTGAAGAAAGGATTTTAGTATATGAATACATGCACAACAAAAGCCTCGACTTCTTCCTATTCGGTAAATTTCATATTCGCAAGAAATTTGTATCTTTTTTTAGTTTACAAGTTGCTTCTTTTCAACCTTATAATGATATGAACAGATACTAACAAAAAGGAGCTACTAAATTGGGACACTCGATTCAGAATTGTCGAAGGGATTGCTCAAGGTCTACTGTATCTGCATAAATATTCAAGGTTGACAGTAATTCATAGAGATTTAAAAGCGAGCAATATCTTACTTGATAGTGACATGAATCCAAAGATATCGGACTTTGGCATGGCGAGGATTTTCGGAAGGCAAGAATCTGAAGCTAACACGAAAAGAATCGTTGGAACACAGTAAGTTCATAAACAATGTCTGCAACCAAAAAACTTAGTCATATATACAAAATTTATATTACTCAAAAGTCTGAAATACACTTTTCAAATACAACTTACAGTGGCTATATGTCTCCAGAGTATGCATTAAGAGGCATTGTTTCAACAAAGACAGATGTATTCAGCTTTGGTGTTTTACTCTTAGAAATTGTTAGTGGCAAGAAGAGCAACAGCTGCTATGATTCTGAGCATCCGCTAAACCTCATAGGACTGGTATATTCTCTAAACTTATGAACTTATCTCATGAAATAGTTATGAAGGCTCCTTTCCGTTGGGCTAAAACAGGCTCAAAGATACACTTAACATGGTGCGATATCATCCTCTTTGGGCTAAGCCTGCACGGTTTTCCCATAAAGGCGTCACGCTATTAAGAGTATCCAACATCTTATAAGTAAATCAGTCTTCTTTTCTACTTTCCATGTGGGACTTTGTTTACACATAGCCAACACTTTCTGACTGATGTGCTAAGTCGGTTCTATTGTTTCAGGCATGGGAATTGTGGAGAGAAGAGCGAGCTTTGGAGCTAATAGATGTAACACTAATTGAATCGTGCTCGCGCGATGAAGTAATGAGATGCATTCATGTGGGACTCTTGTGTGTTCAAGACTATGCAAAAGATAGGCCATCAATGTCAAATGTTGTTTCCATGCTTACAAACGATACGAGACAACCACCACCACCACCAGAACGACCAGGATTTTTCATAGAGAGGGGTGATCAACGAGCACAGATTTCCGAAGAAGTAGAAAGATATTCGATAAATGGGCTATCAATTTCAGAATTGAAAGCAAGATAAGTCTCATCTAGGCTGCCTTCACAACCACTGTTAGAGACTGATTCAGAATTTAAAGTCAGTGGAACGAACAAACATACATTTTATTAAAATTTCATCAATATGTATATGGCACGATCTAGAAACAACGAGTGCACCTATATATGTCCCTGGCCATTGCCTAAAAATTAGAAGGCTGGCTCCATCAACATTGAGCTTCAATAATAAAATTCACTCCTGTTTTTATGCCATCTTACTATATCAATAATAAAATGCTATCTCACTATATATTACACAGTTAATTATAAGTCTTAGATGTTGTATCTGAATTTTCTCTATACTACATCTGTATAAATACAAGTTCCATTTTTAAAGGAAAAATACATACAATAAATGGCTATAGGCACCATTATTTTGTAATGTTAGATAATACACTTGTCACTCGTCAGTTGCATGTCACTCATCAGTTATATAAGTCGGTTACCAACTATAGTTATAACGTTAGAGATCACTTGTCGCTCATCAGTTATATAAGTCAGTCACCAACTATAGTTAGAGAATACATTTGTCACTCATCAGTAAGTCCGGTCACCAACTATAGCTATAATGTTAGAGAATACAATTGTCGCTCATAAGTTATATGAGCCGAAAGAGGTTTCAGAGGAGTTTCTGAACTCTCAACTTCTGTAAATTAGACAAAGTGGTAACTGGATGTACACATCCTTTTCACTTACATGTTCACAAATTGGCTGTCAGTAAAATTATAATCAACCTCTTCATCCCAAATTACCAATCTACCCTCCCCCCAAAGAAGAATGAAAATGTATAATTCAAGTAAAAGGAAGATCATATAAAAAAAGACCTATTTTACAATTTTGGTTTTCACCTCAACTCATCACCATTCTGATGATTATTAGTTGCATTGCTTTCTTTATCACTAACAAAAATTAAACGATCGCCGTCCCTGATCAACTCTATATCATCAATCTCAGCTCCATCTTTGCTTACAACTTTGACTTGCAAGATTCCATATCTATTAGGACCAATTTGAAGTAGTTCTTGAAAACTCGGTGGAAGTAAAACAAGCTTACCTCCATTGTCCCCTTTCTCGGGGCAACACACCGTCACTCTAGGAGCGTAAGTCTTGGTTGTCGTGGCACTTACATTTGCCTCGTTTGAAGATAAAACCACGTCAGGCTCATTGGTCTGCACTGCTGACATTATCCCGAATAATGAGTTGTGGAAGTTATTAGTCCTACGTCTAGGACGTGATCGCCCTAATGATCCATCGGATGCTAGAAATGAGACTCCGTGGGAAGCAGGGAAGATCGTTGGCTCGCTTTTGAACCTACCAAGAAACCGAACCCCGTGTCGTTCCTCGGGGATAGGATCAACAGATCGAGTTCTCATCACTTCCCCGGATTCGAAGAGTTCTTTGATGTCTTCATGTCCTTGTTGCTCAGCAAGCTCCCGAGGGGTCCAACCATGTTCGTCAACTTGATCAACGTTAGCCCCTCGATCCAAAAGGTATTTTACTATTTCCATGTTTCCTTCACAAACAGCAACATGAAGTGCTGATGAGCCGTTGACTTTCCGACTCGTGACATCCCCACCATAACGGACAATATCTTTGAGTAAATTCAAGTTGTTCTGTTCAGCAGCAACGCATGCGAAATGTCCCACATCACCAGCTGATAATTTAGCACCGTTGTCAACTAGTAACTTAATCACCGGCTCGTGCTTCCCCAAGATGGCCTCCCACAATGGGACATTGCCTTCTGAATCTGTGTACACAAGAAACAAAATCAACCCTTTGATCTGTGTCGTGGAAAGTTCAGCAAGGTCTGATTAGAAGCTCAAAAATGAGTGGCGTGAGGGGCTTTAGAAGGTGGGGGGGTTTAATTCAAGTAGGGGCGGAGCTCCTCATAGAGTTGAATTGAACAATACCTCTACTGTTGACATCGGCACCAAAATCAATCAGAAGAACCACACAGCTCTCAATTCCTGTAGCCGCTGCGACATGCTGATGAGAGAAAACCAATAAGAAAGAAACGAAATGAGAAATGGATTTTACATAGAATTTATCCTTTGATAACAGAAGTTCATGTGGGAACAAACCAGAGCGGATCTTCCATTGTTATCTGATTCATTTGGATCAAGACCCCGCTTCAACAATTGATGCAACAACAAGTCATCACCTCTAAGCGTTGCGAAACAAAGGGTGAGAGGCAGATCCATTCTACCACGAGCTAGCATGCGTTCTGTCTCCAGAAGAACTCCCTCCATAATTGGATCCTTTATGTCCTTCAAGTGCTGTTCGGCAGAAAGGAAAAAACACGGTAGCCATATTTTAGGCGAATCATGTTAATCGAATTCATCAATGTTAGAAAATGTTTTTAAGGCATTCATACCTGAAGGAGATTATTCATGATTATGGTCCCGTCCCCAACATTAGCCTGAACGATATTCAGAAATGCGGTACGGTTCATACGTAGTAGCTGGCACAGTCTCTTTGTTCGTACCGTAAATAGTTGAGGCCTGTAACAAAGAACCCCAATTTCACCACAAAGATCACCAGTCTTCGCCTCCCCAACAACCTGAAACATCCATTTTACTCTCAGTTCATCGCTTGTGGTTTGAAAAAAATATTAAATGTATATCGCAAATTTAAGGTTCCGCGCATTTGAAATGAAACTTGCCTGTTCAACTCCATTTTTAAGCACCAATAGATCCTGTCAAATAGACTCAACATTAGACTAGTACGATCAAGTAAAATACCACAATTAAGATGCATGCGACGTAAACAAGATTACAGAAAGAGGTTCAAAATTACCACAGCTCCTGTTACAAGAATATAGAAATCCGTTGGTGCTTCATTCTGCAAAATGACATCTTCTTTGGGAGGAAAGTATTCTGCTTTCATTTCCGAGACCTGGAACCATAGAGCAAGCATCAAATGTAAAAGAAAACATGCTTAAAGAGTAAAAAAGTGATTAATTATCTGTTTCCTAAGTTACCAGCTGGAAGAGTAGATCGTTTGACACTCCACGAAACAAGTAAACCTTATCTACTAAAGAGTAGAAAAGAAAATGTGAAATGCTTGATCGGATGGCTTTAGGAAGAGATTCAAGCGTCTCTTGCTGCTGCAGCCCCTCCGAGTCGGTTCTGAACTTCAAGCACAAGTGTGCAAGCATCTGATCTTGGAGACGAGCCGGCAATTGGTTCCTCTGTGCAAAGCTTGAAGCCGCTTGAATTGTGTCTCTCTGTAGCAGAAGAACAAATGCATTTTAGAATGTAATAAAAATTATAGCTCACTGATAAAATAATCGAGCAATACGATAATTTTACTCACAAATTTTCTAGTCCTACTTGTCCCGTGCACGACCAAGTTGGTCATATTTCCTATTAAATATGCTGTCAATCCCAAGTTAAACAGCATGTAGAAAATATCAAAGATCATCTCGCGCGTATTCTCTGGATGTAGATCACCGTAACCTACTGTAGTGAGAGTAGTTATTGACCAATAAATAGAAGTAATATAACGAATCCACAGGCTCTGATTAAGGAAGTCGCCCATAGAAGCCCCAATCCATGTCTTGCTCGGGTTCGGATAATTAGCTGCGATCAGATAATAAAAGCATCCGGCACAGTGAACAGCAAAAAGGGTGACCTATTGAGCAAAAAGAAACAATACGTTAATTAGAATTACAAAAAAAAGAAAAAGAAAAAAAGGCAGCCTGGTGCGCAAAGCATCCTGCTTTCACGCAGAGTCCGAGGAAGGGCCGCACCCCAGAGGGGTGTGATGTAGGCAGCCTACCCTGATACAAGCATCAGTGGCTGATTAAGCCACTTATTATCAGCGCTTAATCAAAGAAGAGCAAAGTGTACTTACACAAACAAGCTTCGCACATCGAACCCAAAAGTAATTGAAGTTCCTATCTTTCTCCAATCTGTTTCAAACAAAGAAAGATAAGGCCGGTATTTACTGAGCTTTTAAGGAAAATATATGCATATATAGCGTTGATCACTCGAAGCCTGAGCAATTTACCTGGAAAACAATGCACTAACTCTTCGTAGACGCCAAAGACGAAGCATATTGAATAAGCCATATTGGCGTAAAGGTTTCGGGGAGATCTTCTGAGCGAGTTCTGAAGGGATTGTTGATATGACATCAAATAAAAACCAAGTACTTCCATACTTCCAAGCAATCTTTTTATGATTATCGACAAGTAGATACGTGGTTCTATCCAAGTAAGCCACAAAGAAGGTAAGAACGATATCAATCGCGAAGAATCCATTGACAACATTGTCGGTCACCGCGAGTGGTCCTGTTGGTTTTTTCAGAAAGCCAAACTCAAATGGGGAAACCCAAGCAGTGTAGACGACGAGTGCAACTAGAAAAGTCTCCCAGAACCTGCAAACATCATTTTAACCTGAGCTGATTTTAGCAAATTCCATGTTCATATATATGAGTCAGACAACTTATCCAGACAATAGATTATAAAATACAAGGGATGAATGGGATTATTAACTATTCAAAATCTCAAGAAAAACGATGACTCGTGATTTAAGTGTAACATGCAGAACTTGTTAGCACGTTTCTGTCAGAAAAATTGTCTCTCCCTTCTCAAAAGGTGAAGTTAAATTTCATGAGGAAACTATTCGAAACGAGAAATTAACAACATTGGTTGCAAAAGTAGATGCAGGATTGTTCTTTTTAAGCAATGTAAAACATAAATAGAAAGTTGTAGTAAGTACCAGTAAATGTTGCCAATAATTTAGTTGTCTAAGAAGTTATATACTGCTGTTAGAATTACCCGTATTAGGCCCCCGAGGCTTTAGTCTAGTGGTAAAACCGCACCATGTGATGTGTGCGTTAGCGCACGTTACGGATTCGAATCTTGTCATAGACAAAAGCCTAGTATTTAAGTAGAGAAGAGTATTCGAATCTTGTCGTAGACACTAGGGCTGTGCATTTGGATTGGATATCCGAAATCCGATCCGATCCACTCTATTTCGGATTTTCGGATTTCAGATTTCGGATTTTCGGATTGGATTCGGATTGACATGTTTTTAATCCGATCCGATCCGAAATCCGAAGTTATATGACCTATATATAAATACTATCCAAAAATTTTAGGGTTAAGTAACCTTATATTCATTTATCAGAGACTGACCCTAGGTTATATCGATGTTGAGTCTCTAGTCTCTTTCGCCTCTCTTCACAGATCTATTCCTCAGTCCTCTCGAACTC